TTCCATGCAGGACATCTAGGGCTCAACCGAATGAAAGCGCTTGCCAGAAGTTATGTGTATTGGCCGTTTATGGACAGGCAGCTGGAGCAGCTAGCTAAAAGTTGAGGCAACTGCGCTACCGCATCAAGGGCACCGCCGAAGACTGAACTCCGCTCATGGCCTAAACCAACTAAACCTTGGAGTCGTGTTCATGTCGACTTTGCAGGCCCAATCAATGGCCAGAGTTTTCTCATAGTGGTCGACGCTTATAGCAAGTGGCCCGAAGTGTTCCTCATGAGAAGCACGAAAACCAGCGCAACCGTCTCTAGGTTGCGACAAATCTTCAGCAGGTTAGGCTGCCCTGAAACATTGGTGACGGACAATGGAGCACAGTTTACTTCGGCCACATTCACGTAATTCTGTCAACGTTGCGCCATCAAACACATGCGGTCTCTACCATTCCACCCACAATCGAATGGCCAAGCGGAGAGGTTTGTGGATACATTCAAACGCGCTCTCATCAAATCAAGGAGGGAGGGAGACATAGAGGAGGTGATCGACCGCTTCCTATTTCGGTATCGATCTACACAAAATTTACAAACACCGGGTGGAATATCACCAGCAGAGGCAATGATGAAGAGAAAACTTCGCATGCCATATGATGCAGTTCGGCCGTCCTCAGAGTCCCTAGCTGGTGAAAGGAAACTCAAGATGGAACGTGATTTTAATCGGCGGTTTGGTGCCAAGCAACGTTCGTTTACACCGGGTCAGCCAATACTTGTGCGTGATTATCGGGGTGGACACGCGAAATGGACGCCAGGCACGATCCAGCGCAAGCGCGGAAGCGTCATTTATGACGTGCTGGTTGGAACGCAGGTATGGGTACGCCATGCAAACCAACTGCGAACAACAATGTGTCAGCCACAAGCAACAGAATCCGCCAAGCTTCCATCTGACCTTTTGACAGACAGCTTCAACTTGCCTACAGAGCCAGTAGAAGAACCCTGTCATCAGACGAATAGTACCAGACCGCAGAGCACGGAATTCGAATCCAGAACACTACAGCCAAGGCGATGCACCGTTAGGCGAAGAATCCCTTCCAGGAGGCTTCAGGTTAATCCCCGGCTAGCATCATACACAACGGCAGCAGCTTCAGGAGGGGAGGTAACCGGGAATCAGATAAAAACAGAAAAGAAAAAAGGGAAAGTATATAATGGTGATTGAAAGCTGGGCTGAAGGAAATCGCCTACCCCCGTGCGGTCGATCAGGCAATCGATCGAGCGGACGAATGCGTTTTCAAACACCCGGCTAATTGGACTTTTGCCTCAGAGTTGAGAGGGCAGTTTTTCGGCGGCATTATCTGGCTACGTTGGCAGGGTTTTTGTTAACACGTTTTTCGTGGTCAAGACTGTTAGAATTTTGATTTTTCTTCGGCTGGGCTAGAATTTTTGCGGAGAAATTTCTGAGTGGTTAATTCGGAATAGCGAAAAAAGTGAAGATCTAACAGGATCCATGACGAAAGTGAACAAAAACGGGGAAATTAGACAACATTGATGAACGCCACTTGTTGCCGAAAAGGCATCCAACAGGTCACCGTAGACCCTGACACGACCTTTCGTGTTCAAGTTCAAAGCACACAGTGTTCACATATTTCATGGAAACACTTTTCTGCGCAAGTATTTCGAAAAGAAAGCATCAGTCGAATAAGTAGAGCGCACTTTGGAAGTCGAGGATCATCGCTATTAACGGTCGGTGGTACGTGTGGCCCTGCTGTAGCACCTGCCGCAGAGTGAATATGTGGTCCAAACAGCCACCTCCTTGGCTGAAACCTACCTGCCCTTCCCTAATCCGGCATTCCCGTTACGCAATGGTGCGACGAAGAAAAATCCAGGCCAGTAATTTTGTCATTAAGGCGTTACGCTTATACTCCTGTGGTTTGCATAGTCAGTGTGAATGCCATTCCACTATAATCGATTAACACCAGCTTGTTGGGATGGTTCCGTCCTTATAGACCTGCTAGTGCAGGGTCAGCGCTTTGCAGAGGACCTCACCACCATCCGTAAATCGTGCATGTGAGAGGCAGTCCGAGCCAGCAGCACGAAAGTGATCGAAAGCTGCAATCACGTTTCGGACATCATCCTCTGAAGGAGTCACTAGATTAGCTGTTCATGGCTCGGCCTGCATCACCTGAGTAAGAAGACGTATGGGAGGAGGACAACTAAACAGACACTGAAAGTGTTTAGCCAGACGAGCCATACCGCACTCTTTATTGCGAATCAGAGCACCCGCACTGTCTCTGGTTGTTTCGCTGACGTCTGGTTTCTTGGCACCAGTGGCGCAAACCAGCCCGAAGAGTTTTAGATACTTCCCTACTGCTCCCGACTCCTCCAGTTCTTGAGCCCGATTCTTCAACTAGGCTTCCTTGTCAGCACGCAGGCTCCGCTTTCGTCTGCGCCTGGCTGGTTACATTGTGCTCAGAGCCAGCCAAGAGGTTTCTTCTGGATTCCAACAGGTTCACCGACCTCTCGGATATCCAGTGAATGGTGCAGTGACAACTGATAGCACTACAAACTGCCGTTCCTGCGTTGTGTGTGACAGTCGGGATCCCATTCCACTGAAGCTCAGTGTCATTAGGACAAGGGTGAGAAAGATCGATACGCAGCGTAGCTTGCAGGCTTGCCTGACCGAGGGTTCGGATAATTTCTGTTGCCCCCCCCCCGGTAAAGTTCATGGAGAAACGACAGCGTACCAAGGCATGATCAGAGTCAACGCTAGTACTCCAGAACGAGCGGCAATCCAGGATGGAACCACGCCACCTGTAACTTATAGCAATGTGATCTAATTGGGTCCATAGCTGGCCAGCTACAGTACGCCAAGTGGCAGTTCGGCGTCCACTGTGTCTGAAAGCAGTGCTATGAAGAAACAGCTGGTGCTCCGCGCGCAGCTGTAACAGACGCTAGCCGTTGTCCGTCCGTTCGGAGTTAAGCCCATAATTACCATCCAGCTGAGCCTCTGGAGAGCCCAAGTGACCTACTTGCACATTCGTATACCGCGCAAGAACTATGGTATCTGAACTGGTAGCACTGCTTAGTATCGTGTTCAATTCGTGGTAGAAAGCATTCTTTGTAGCATCAGAACTGCAATCTGTCATCAAATCATGCGATGCGAGCAGCAGCGTTGTGAAACAAATGTCGCTAAATCTGCCAACACAGCAAGCAGGAGAAGCAACAACAACAACAGCAACAAGTACCACCTACAGCTGCTGGTGGATACGCCCGGAACTGCTTGGTTTTTTTGTCTGAATCCATGTCCCACGGTCAGATAGTCGATTCGCTGCTCCCAATGTTGTATTGTGAACTCATGTCCCCGAAGCCTTCTCGTGGCGACCGCTGGGTGGGAGGTGGGTTACACCTTTCGTCCAGCTAGCAGACAGAATACACAATTCCGCGTGAGTTGGTCCACTGGTCCATGACACAAGACCCGCTACCTTTCTGGTGTTTACTTTATCTAAGGCTATTGCTGAGGACCCGAGTCGTTCTCCTGTCAGCTGTAGACGCCTCGGCAGTATCCTGGTCCAACCCCCCAAAATTATGAATCACACCAATAATAAGAATTCCATGCTACCGTCGATGCAAACCCATGCATAACCCTCCACAAATGTAGCATCCTGGAGTGGATGGAAAAATTACGTCTGCAGTGAGAGCAGCTGAATGAAAATCAATAGATGAGTGGGGCACTGGAGCGCAAAATATTCGATCCTGGAATAGTGCTAAAAATGACAGCGTCGCTGGACGTAGTCGAGCTAAAGCCTTGACACTCGTCTACTTCTGAAGCACAGTTCGGTTTAGCTGAGCAATTAGTATTCGCGTAGCAAAGTACGTTGAATTCAGTCAATTAGACTCAGATTGTCGCAAAATTGATTTGAATGGCTGGGAGGAATATGATAAAAGTAAGAAGATAATGAAGATACCCAATGAATGTAAGATCTAAGAAAGCAAATGCAAGGACTTCGCTGACTTCGGTAATGTGGCACGCTTATTTTACAGTTCGCAACAGAGTGCAGCTTTTCACGACAACACTAGCCTCCCTACAGTTTTACATACCCAGAATGACGTACACTATCTGTACCTGATTATGAGATGGTCGGATAAAAATGCTCGTTCAAGTGGATATCGTATAACTATGAGAACGCTTGAAATGAAAAGTTACCTTGTCAACTCAGATGTTGTAGACGTCGAATAATTAAATATGGCGATTGCCATTGTCACTGAGACAAATAGCCACTCCGCAACGATCTACGAGGTAGTGTGCTGACTATAAGCCCGAAGACAACTTGCAGTTTGTAATGAATTCCGGCCATCGCCAACTGGAAGCGACATAAGTTTCGTTCCAAGGTGATCAACGTGTGACGAGTTGAAGCCAAAGGTGGCGAAAACTGATGACAAAAAGTTAGCTCTATGTCTATTGCACAGTGATGAGAGGCGATCACATTTCGCTGATCCAATGTAGTTATTAATGTGGCAGCCACAAGTTACGTACGAGTCGGCAGCAATCCACTTGACCAGTATGTTCGAGTTCTCACCAGGTACCGCTATAACACCAGAGCTGCTAAAAGAAAACGCTGCAAGTTGGTAGCAGGAGCAACACATGGCTGTGTTAGACTTTCAAGGAGATGGCAACAGAGTTGCAGATGAACACTGCATAAACATGGTAACTGACAGTTTACTGAAGAGAAGCATTGGAGAGAAGCTTTTTGGAGTCAACAAGTTTTGAGTAAATAGGAAAACGGGGCTTCGGTTTAACATTTGGTGAGCGGAGAGAGAATTGTAGGATAGGTGATCGGATGTTCAATGGTAACTCAAAAATACTGATTCATGAGTTTGATGACCACACTTGGCTAGAAAGTAGCGGATATTTCCCGAATTAAATCGATTTGCTCAAATATTTAGGAAAGGATAGGATAAATGAAGTGTTCGAATACAGAAAGGCGAAAACTGTGGGTGAGCGCATTAGCCGCTCACCTGAAGAATGCGTAGTTGTTCAAAAACTCGCTTGTTCACAGTTATCCGCTGCATTTTCAACGGTTTCAATTCCCGACAAAGTCGCTGTTGCGTTTCAGAAGATCTCAGGCGAGATAATGCCATATTATTAGACTCATCCAATAAGGCACGCCAAACGTGCCAAATGCTTTGACCATGTGATCTATCCAGGAAATATTCAGTAGGTATTGTAGAACTTACACGCCATTATCATTTGGAACATAGGCACCGAGTTCTCTCTTAGACAGAAAACCAGTTGCAAGTTTTTGCAGAGCTTGGCCATACTCACGCTCTATAACTGCCCGCTGCTTGCAAAACAATCTATTAAGAAAAATAAAACACAAAATTCATAAACGAACTATATCATAGGCAGTAAGTAAAATAGTAGAGATGAAAATGTTTAATGTTTAATGTTTAGAAAATGTTTAACAGGCAATAGGTGCTGAAAACCGTGGCGTTTTGATAATAGATGTAGTGGTAACATTCATCCAACAAAAGCACAGAAAAAGTGAATCCAATAACGAGTGAAAACTCGCGTTGACAAAGCGAGAAATAATGCCTGAAATGAAATGATGGGATGGAACTGCACGTATAGCGCGATAATCATGCGCTATGTATCCGGCACGAGACTAGATGGCTAACCAAAAGCAATGGGTAGAACACACAAATTAAGCTATGGAAAAAGTTTATTGGACGGGAGGAGAGTTAGCTAAAGCTAAAAATAGGGCACCAGAAGACAGATAGCTAGGGAGGATGCAGTTGGGCCTCGAGTGCGTGGACGCAGCGTCGTTCGCAATCGACTCGCGCGCGGAGATCGTATTCGTTTCAAACAAACGGGAACAACGTTATAACAGACAAATCGCCTAATTCCCTAATACATAAGAAAACTATAATGTTAATATATTTTCGTGTAGAGTTTAATGGTGACTTCTGCCTTCGACGAAACTTACGTTACTCACAAACATCCTTCAAATAATCCACCATCGCCCTTTGGACTTCGGATGGACAGTTACTTCGGTCCACTGGGAAGTAACGAGTGAGTGAGCCGATCTGCAACACCAGGACAGTTCCTGTGAGCTCATTGGCAATACGTCGCGGACCAAGCAGAAGTCACGTGTTAAATTCCGCACCTAATCGTCAGCCCTCGGTAGCTCAGTGGTAGAGCAGCGGACCGGAAATTCGTGGACCGGGGTTCGATTCCCCGTCGACGCAGATTTTCGTGTGGAGTTTAATGGTGACTTCTGCCTTCGACGAAACTTATGTTACTCACAAACATCCTTCAAATAATCCACCATCGCCCTTTGGACTTCGGATGGACAGTTACTTCGGTCCACTGGGAAGTGATGAGTGAGTGAGCCTATCTGCAACACCAGGACAGTTACTGTGAGCTCATTGGCTTCGACGATATTTTAAAATAGTTTACACAGTCATACGGAGGAATCTCCAGGTCACTACACACACATTTAAAGATCCCACATCACATAAAAAGATGAGACTTGTTTCACGACGTTCTTCGATATAACAGCAGTGAGATAAATGCCTAGGAAGATCAGGTTGTTGTGAGTGCAAGCTCGGGGTCCTGCAAAATGCCTCGAGTCCCGTCGTAAGATTAAGCCATAGAGCTACATTTATCGCATTAAAAACTATTACTTGTCCTTCAGTATGATGGACTTTAGTCCACATCTCACATCCAACTCTGTGGCGGATTTTCCGTTCAAGCAACACCAATGCAATGCCCGATTTATCATACACCCAGTCTCATCACTTGACGGCATCGTTTCTTTAGCACATGAAGGGGGTTTGGACAGACTACTTCCTATTGAACTTAAGGGATGTGCAGATTCTCTGTCAGCCTCTTACCGAAGTAGGCAGTATGTTATCTGATGTCGCTGTGTCTGATGACACATAGGTTCGTCACTGCAACAAACTCCGACCACGGTGTGTTATGGTTACTACAGAGGACCAGCTGCTCGCACAGTTGTTACTACACATATTGATGGACACATTCGAGATCGCGAAGGAGGAACCGGTACCAGAAACAGCTACCCAACCGACTCGGAAACCCGAGTGTCCCCACCGTCGGATAGGACGTGTCCAACGAGGGCCGAAAGCACTGCAGGTAGACCGTCGTCAAATACGGTACCATCCAGCTTCTAGGGGAGATGCTACAGGTCTGGCATAGCTCTGCCACACTCAACGGAGTTTACCGGCGCCAGTGCACTATCGGACCCGAACAACACGGTAGCTATGCAGAGACCTAAAGAAAACTCAGTTCAAAGCAGAGCTCCCCTTACGGAAATTGCCGCCAAGGCCCCACTTATCTGCACAGATCACAACGGAGTTGTCCTCAGTGAGAATACGGCAAACCAATACCGCACAGTTTCCAATGAACTCGCCCCAGTCTCACTATCGTATCTTCCGGACCCTCTACAAGTCAATAGTTTGCCTCCTGAACTGTGTTCATGTTAAGGCCTTAGCAACTGTGATGTGCCTAACGTCTTAACAGCATCGAACCCATTTCTGCTCGGAGATAGGACCACTACATGGCAACTCATGTGCCAACAAACATACGTCTTCTCTTATAGTTTACACAATTACTGCCGTGTAGAAAGCACGGTTGCCTTGGTTGAGTCAGTGAACGCAATTTCTGCGGGTCTCGGTGCAGTTGTGCGACGTTTACGCGTTCGTGTACCTTCTCAGGTACGAGTTCATGCCTGCCGGTTAAGTTCACTAGCCGTCCCAATACGAATGGTCTAAGCTACTCTGCGCGTGGGAAACAACGAGAGAAAGAGTTCGTCCGTCCCGACTTGGACAGTGGAAACCCAACTAGTTTATAACAAATACACACTTGAATCAGAGATGACGTGTTGATCAGTCAGCATTGTTTGCCGGTAGGTTTATGTTGCTTTCAGGAAGGAAAATAACTGCTCACAAACCGAACATTGTCGTGATCCTTGTGGCAAATTCTCTGTCGTTTTTAAACTTTTCAGAAATGTATGAAAAGAAACCAAGTACCCCCTCTTTAAAATACTCAGCTCTGAGTGTAGAATCCGACTGCAGATTTACTTCCGTTTTAGCAACATAAAAGGTGAATGGTGCTGAAAACAATGCAAATGGACGTGCACGAGATGAAAAATCATGAAATCCTTTATGCAATTCTTTTGAGAACAAGTTCAGGTGGCGGAGCAGTACGCCAATGGGCGCGTCCCCAGGTTGCGGATTGGAGATTGCCTACATTGTGGTGGTAACTGCAAATAAGTCTCGTTTGCTTTGCAGACGAGGTGAATAAACAGTCGCGGATAATCAGCGGCAGCGCCTCAGAGCGTGGGGAGTTCTGGGCTGGTCACCTGGTTCATCATAAAATGCCACAAAAGCTCGTACGGCGCTGTGTCAAAGCCAATGTGACAGAGTCACTGACCACTCACTCCTGTACCCAGAGGTGAGTACCTAACGGAGGGCGGATGAACAACGTTGCTGGTCATCGGCTTCTGCGTGGACTGTAACCGGACACAAAGAAAGCGAATGAGCCACCAGGTTGTCAAGGGTCTTCGTTTTCAGAAATCTGCGTGAATCGCTAGCTGTCCTGCAGGTTAGGACTTTAAGACCAAAGGTTCGGGGTGGGGTTTCTCAAGCCAAGCCTCTTCCTCGGCATGGGCAACCGGGAAGTTCACTGCCCATGCAACACATGAACTCTCTTAACCTTTTCGTTGACTGTTTCTTTTCCTCCATTTTGTTGTTATTACTCATGTGTTGTGGTACTCTGCCAGTTGTTTATTGGCCAAGAGTTAAATATAAATACATATGGTACAGGCCCAGTATTGGCAGTGTCTCGCAGTTCTTCGTAATTAGGAAAATGAACTAATTGTGACTTCCATAAAATTAGTATTATAAGGAAGCACTTGATGTCATCATTGAGCTGAGTGATGAGCTTGGTCTTACTTTACATTTTAAAATTAAAGTCAGTTAAATGTGCATCAATGTCCGCAGCAAAAGCTACGCTGCAGCCAAGTTTCATTTTTGATGTTGGGTTTCAACCTTTTATCGCCCAAACCCTTAGTATTTCTTATCTCACCAAATAAAATCTTGTAAGAACTCTGACAGAAGAACCAACGAACTTCTGTGTAGAATGGAACATCGGTAAACAGATTACCCACATCATCCGACAACTAGTTTAATTAATGGTGATTGAAAGCAAGGCTTCTGATGTAGTTCACTATTATCGTGATCAAACTAAACATATGATCCAATTTTAAGGTCTTTGAACACAAATTTTACTGGTGAATGATGCAGTGAAAAATGTATAAACGATGAATCTGGATGCGATTTTGTAAGTAAGATGGCAGCTAAACCATTAAGTTTATCACACATATTGGCGATACCGTCGGCAGACAAGCATGCAAATTTACTCAAAGCCCTCATGGTCACTCAGAAGCTAGTTAACTTTCTGGAAGATAACCTAAGTTGTAGTGTCGTGCAAGGGAATCAATCCAAGTACCTTTTAAATATTGAATCCATTGCCACATGCACTGATGAAAAGCGCAAGCTGTGCTATTCCAGTGATGTTAATGGTTGCATCAACAGTAATAGGAAATGTTCAAATCTGGATGATATAACTTTCAGTACAAATTCCTAACCGAACAAGGATAAACGATTAACAGACCAGACACAACTGCTGATGATTCACAATGCTTTTGATTTTTCGTACTTCGATAGAGTTGTACAGAAACCTTTCTACTTGCTCTTAAATACAGTCTCAGTCTCAAATGCATTGACATTTCGTCAAAGCGTTTAAGGAAATAGCTTCGAATAAGTGTGATTTCTCTGGGCACATGATTGCAAGCGTTTTTGCAAAGCAAGACAATACGAAATTCCCTTCATTGTCAGATTTCCCACTGATGCCGATCATGCGGCTGATTTCATAGCTTGCAATAACGGAAGCCACATTACCTTTCTTAGCTATTGTAAAACAGATGCGCTGTTGCCTCACATTGCCATTCAATTTCTTGAGTTTTTAGACATGAATTGCACCTTCAAATTTAGTATGAGATCGATGGTTCACTTAATAATACCTTTACGAGTAGTACTCATTTGGCGTGGCAATGGCGCTGCAAATTACACAATGTATCTTTCCGTTTGCCGCTAGGAAAAATACTGTAATTCCCATTTTTCTAGAAAAAATCGACCTTCGTTCACTGTGCTTGCTTACTTAACTGGAATAGCACTGGCCATCATTAACTTTCTGTGGAATGGGAACAGTGTTCACTATATTGTAAGAGAAGCATTCCATTCAGTTTGTAATAAACAGCAGCCAAAGGTGTACAATAAGAACGAAGGTGATATCAGTTCGCGTGAAGGTATCCAGCCACATTAGGTCAGATACAAACGCTACACATTGAAAATTGCGCATGCCGCTGACAACCAATGAAATGCAAGAGGGATTGGCATGATCAGGACATGTTTTCTGTAGCGCTGTGGACTGTTAAAAGTTATACCTATGTCAAAATTTGTAAATCGCTTGCCTGGCAGATGCATTCATGTTGTCGTGCTTGTTAAATCCATTCAAATGTAACTATCACAAAGATTATGACGTGTCACTTTTAAGCGAAGCACGCGCTTCTATGCAGTTTAAAGTATAATTCCTCAATTTTTGTTGCGAAATGACCAATATATAGTAAGCTTTGTGCGGGCCACGAGTGCGCTTACAAAGGGCCGCGTGTTTTACGTGCCTGATCTAGGACATCTCGTCCTTAGTTCACCAAAGGAAATTAGGTATATAAAGTGTTGCGATATGAAATACTCCAGTTATTCGCAACTACATGCAAATCGGCGATCCGGCACACAGAAATATAAAACTGTACGTCATGTAGAGATGTTATCGCAGCAATGAACACGAATACCCACCGTAGATCATTCAAGAGCTCGGTTTCTGCCAAATGCTTATTCTGAAGCGTTGAGTAATGTTCGTTGTGAATCGTCTTCAGTTGAGCAAGAGGTTTAGTGCCCTGAAATGATTATGCAGAAGATCCATTAAGCGCTCGAAGTAAACTAACAGACAATGGTATATATATATATATATATATATATATATATATATATATATATAAGCGCAGAAAGGAATGAGCAACAAGTGAACAAATAGTTTGGTGCAGAATGAAGTCAACGAACGCTAACCATAGGTACAGAGGAGTGAGAACAGTAGTCAGCACAAGTGCATGAGGTAGGCATGAACAAGCGAGCAAGAATAGGTGATAAAACAGAAAATTCGTTTCTCGGTGCCGAGGGATTCAGAAGACTTAGTCGAATTCGGAGATATTGTCAGCTGTGCAACACATCTCGCAGATACGCCGCTAAAGAGGGCAGCTGAGATAAACAAATGGCTCGCGCATCAGAGTTTCAACGTCTGGGGAAAATGCATCCGAGTCGACACATGCGGAACGAATAACGGCGACCGGTTTCTGCAAACATCTGCTGACTACAACAATTACGTTAGAAACATTGCTTTCCAAACATTTCCAATGCATAACGTGGGTCGAACATGACCATATTGCCATCGGTTACGGTGCATATCAATAAGTCATTGGCATTATTCATTCAACATGTTAGCTAGAAGTGGAAAACAGCTATTGTGCCGCAATACATTAGAAGAAAAAGCCGTAAAAGAGGTACGCCAGCTGAGTAACCAGTAACGGATGGGCATTGTTCCGGAAAGTAAACAGCCGGCTACTGTACCACAAAACGAGTTGTATTACATACAGGAAATGAGATCGTAGTTGAAGGGGGAGGATAAGCGGGAGAGGAGGGACAAAGAAACTCACAATACATACGCCACTGAGGTCGGTTCCTAGTCATGCCAAGAAATGAATCCAGCAAAACGTGTTCATCGTCTTTCGGACTCTGCTACCTGTTGACTGATCTGCAATAATGTATTTTGAGGCATGCAAATCTAAGAGAGGACTGAGGGCTCCAAATAGAAGCCGATGAAGTGAGGTTGATCACATGGTTAGACATGGGCTGAGTCTTGAAAGTCAGTTCAAGACTGTCGGTCATATTTGGGTACTAACCCAGAGTCCGATCATGCCGTAGTGCAGGCACCCTTGGCACTCACTCCTCCGGCTCCAACGAAACGCACGACTTTAATACCCATCACACGTAACCCGGACTTACAATTATCAGTTCAGCTATATCAGGAAAAAATATGTACCAACAATTTTAACTGAATATTGGTGTGGTGAAACAAACGTCGACAAAAATCGTCACCCATGAGCAATAGGGGATGCTTTCAATACCTCCTGTGCGTCAAGACTAAGGCGTTCGTGTTGTGGATGGATATCTGACGCACCAGTTATTTTGATCGAAGCACATGTACTGGTCCCGTTACGTATTGTTCCAGTGTTTCCCCATGAAATGGCGCTTAACTAGTAGTTTTGGAATTGAATAGAAGCATCGGTGAGCCCGTGAAGTGGAGAAGGCCAAAGCGATGAGGAACATCTGAGTACTGTTTAAACTCGTCCGGAGCACGGATCCAAGAAATTTCTCACCTGTTGAGACAACAGATGACGGATGGACAGCTGACCCCTCACAAATACTTTGGTTGGATCGTTTGGCGGATCTCAAGCATCGCGCGGAAGACAAAAAGATTGGTGACCACCGGGTGCTTGCAGTGTTACTGACATCTGGTAAGAACACCAAGCGAACAGTACTAAAAAGTGATGGCTTGTGTTTAGAAAGTATCCTGTTGTCACATTTGGTTACCCGCTAAAGTTGAACCGCTTAGGTCGGTTAGATCATGCCATTCGTATAGGCTTCCTCGACGTGCATTAGATGTTGTCACTGCACCCAGTAGCCCAATACCTCGTGTCAACGCTTTGCTGCCGCGCGACCACAACTAGTTGCGTGCGAGTCAGAAACGGCGCGATGTCATCCGCACTTTTGGTGGTTCGGACAGATTACCGTAGGAGTACAAAACAGGGGGCTGGGCGAAACCATGACGTGACTAGTCGGTGGCATAGCTTGAAGGTATGGAAAAACTGACCAAGAAAATCACTTAGGCCGATACGCGTTGGCTTCCATTCAAGTGAACAACTATGATCCGAGCACCGAAGTGGGGTGAATCCAGTTGCTACGACTCATCGCAAGAGTAACAATAGATAACAACGGCAAGATAACGACTGCCTGCTAGTCTAGGAACAACCACAGAAGCAAGTAAGTTGGAGGCGATGGAGATCAGGCTGATTTCCTTACCAATGCCGCATTCCGACCAGCGGTCTCCCTTAAAAATTTGGACTACAGCAGAGCGGCCCCAGTCTGTTCAAACAGTCTCCTGCTCCCAAGTAAATGGCCTCTCAAAATGCTCAACGTAATGCTCCAAGCGTTCTGACAAGTTGTGGATACACTATCCACTTGTCGCATAAAGTCTCGCTAACAACAGGTTTTTTGCTGCCCGTTTCCGTATAAGACAGAACAAAATACCGATGGTTACCAAAGGCAGCTGCCATTTCCTTATCCCATGCACGATGAGATAATCAGGCAACCCAGTGTCCATTCAGGCTAGCATGCAGTTTCGCACTGAGGTCTTTGCGAGTCTCTTCGTATCCGTTTCCGTCCGAAATGCGTCAACAAGTATCGAGGAGATCCAGAAACCGCGTAGAGACCAATGTCCCGGCTGGCAAACTGATCTGCCACATGAAGACATGCCTGCTGCTATTAACGTCTGGCGGATATGCGACCAATGATCTACAGCTGTTTTCAGTGAGCAATTACTCCGCTCGAATGACAGCGTACTTTTATACACATTCGGAACATCTGGTTCGGCCATTTGGCTGGTGTCTATGCGCTCACCGCGTCATTATGGAGGTAAGTCGAAACGCGACCATGGATTAGCACATACCATTGTGTGGACATTGTCCAACGTGCTACAGGTCGAGCGACAGTTTTGGTTGCAATCTAACCAACAGTAACTGATCGCGATGTGGTTACTTTGCGTTTATGGCTATTCCAGGGTTAGCGGGCGCCATGCCACCCTCCGGCGACTGCTGCGAATGTTTGTGCTCCGGAGAAATAGACCACCATTTTCGCATGGGTGTAGGAGCTGCTTATCGTATTTGTTACGGGATCCTACACCGTGTCGGCAGCCACATGAAAGTCGTCAGTGGACAATTTCTGAGATGCAGCGCTCAGACCCTCAGACAGCATTATAGGAACCGTGTTCTTATTGTGGCAGTTGACTTCTTTGTGTGACTCATATTTTGTGAGGAGTAAAACAGTGCGCATTTTTTCTTCGCTGCTGTAGTATTCATTGCTCTAAAAATGTTTCCTGTTCGATTCGCGTGATGTATTCGATGTGACACTACGCTATCCAATGTTCCCTTTTTCTCTTCAGCCAGTGCAATTTTGAATCCCAAGATGTACTTTTCCAGCTGGGCGGTTGTAGGTCGTCCGATTTCCTGCATCAAATTTCATCCTTGAAAGTCCAAGAATTTGCTTTGGGCTATCGGAACTAGTCCAAAGCATCTGCACCAAGCGACTACCCGTGGCAGTTTCCAATCCGCAACAAATATGGCGACGAAAGCGTTGGCTTTTTCTCCTCAACCATGTCTGCCGAAACTGATTTGAAGCAGATGGTGCAAGCCCAGATCAAAGTAATGAAGATCCCAGTCTGGAAATTCGCTATCTTGTGGTCGTCCACTTCCTCAGCAAAAGTACCGTCAGTGAATAAACACGCACAAAACGTCTCCGATTTCCAGTATGATGCGCAAATTAGTGCAACGTTCGAATCATGCTACAAGCGACACGAGGATATCTTCTCGGATGAACTGGCCAACCGAAATGACGAGAGCAAAGTCCGGCGGAACCTTATCCTCCATGCCGAACCTCGGTCACGCAGCTCCAAGCAGATGGTGCAGACATTATTGGCGATTTTTAGGGACACTCATTATTTAACAATCGCTTCCAGAGCCTCCAGAGAGTCAAGCAGGAAGCCGACGACTTTGCAGATCGTTTGTTTTTCTGCACTAAATTTTCTCTTTGAAAGTCCGATATTTCGCCTTGAGCTTTAGGAGCTAGTACGAGGTGCGCGAACCAAGCGGCTATCCATGGCGATTTCCAATCTGCAACATATCTTCCGTGACCAAGGAGCTCGTTCAGTTGGCGATAGAAATCGTCTTTTATCAAGTCGGCGTTACAGTTTGTGGGGACGTAAGCAACGATGACAAACAGACACCTGATGATGTCATCATTCTTATTCATTATACACGTTAGCTGCAGGTGGAAAAGACCTAGCTATTGTGGCGCAATATACAAGAAGGAAACACGAAACAGCGGCGCACCGGTTGACACCCCATTAGCGAATGGACATCGTTCCGGACAACTAACAGCCAGCTATTGTGCTGCAAAGAAGTCAAATTATGCATAATAATTGAGATCGTGGTATACCTGCTGATAGGTGCGACTTCGAAGGTTTGTACGAGCCAGCCAGTTGGACCGCAGACATCTGGATATTTATTGGGATCCAGTTAACAAAAAGAGCAGGTTCAGCGCGCGGACTAAGGGCAATACTAACGCCGGCTTTGACGGCACCCGAAGCTGCATTATCTCGAGATAGATGCAGTGAGAAAACATTGATTGTGTCAACTGAAGAGGATCGCAGAGTGAGCATAGAGCTAAAGTCTTGCAGGACGGTTTCCGATAAACAGTATATATCCATCGAGAGCACCTCTAAATGTTCCGATAAGTGCTGCCTTTTGACCGATTGGTAACAAGGTGCATACAATGAAGCATGCTAATCTGAAGGAGGATCGTAGGCTCCAAATAGAGGCCGGTGAACTGGATTTGTCCGCTTGATTGAACATGGGCTTTTCGACAAAGCAGGAGTGACAGCGTTTGTGCGTGAGTTGCAACTATTTGATGAACGCCTATCATAGTAAGATGGGGTGGCCATAATTGGGGGTTGAAAAAGAAGGGATAAAAGTGAAGCTGGAATGAATGGGAATAAAAAGATGAGAGG